ACCGGTGATACCCTCATCGCTGTTTAACTGTTTGGCGAACGCTTAACTGAATGATTCAGGCATTTCCAGACTAGTGAGATATTAAGCATTTCGGCTTACTAAGGCGATTGCCTCTGTATGGTTGGTTTTCTTTCCGCCATGAATCGATGTAAGTTCCTAGGGTATGGTAGGAGTTTTTTGGCAATGTTAGCCCGTACTTCGAATAGTTTGCAGTAGATTTCGACCGAATTTTCCCTTAACATACCCCGAGCTAAGGTTCAGTGATGGGGTATTAAAATCTCCCTCTATGGTAATTTGGTCATAGCCGAAGTCTCGCGTCCCTGTGGTAGTGCTGAGCAGTAGCTGTATGTGCTCTGCCCCACAGGTGGAAGATCGTTAGATGCTTCCCAGTAAATGCTTGGTGTGGCCTACGGTGAAATGACACTATATGAAGTCTGGGAGTTCAATAAGTGGTAGGTCTGTTGCGCGCACACATTTAAGTTGCCTGTCAGAGTATATAGCAGTTCCCTCTTCTTCCTTATTATCCCTGTCTCTCCTGACTAGAGCAGTATCATTTATACTGATTTCGCTGTCGGTGATAGTGGAGGTTAGCCAGGTCACAGTGAGAATTATCATTTTAAGTTTCTATGTGTGCTTGGAGATTTCGGAGTACGCCTACATCCCCACCAGGCCTGACGGCTAATTGGTGAGATGATCAACCCCATTCACAAAAGCGAGATTGTCTTAGCACTGTGCATATTACAAACCATAGAAACGATCACATCACAACTCCCCTTAGAGTAAATCAGGGCTACATAATTTGAGTGGTGAGACGCAGTGATCAGAAAGAAGCTTACTGAAGAGCAGGCAACCTCATCTTAAAGCAAAGAAGCAAGCTCAGGGAAATCAATCTGGTTTACGCTCGTAAAAAAAGGGTAATGGATATTGAAAGAGGAATTATAATAAAGTATTCATCTTTTGAGCAACTGAACGAAAATTTTCGGGCTTTGGAGCATTTCAGATAACTTTGGATCACTTGGTTTACTCCTTCAAATAGATAGGGAATTACACGAGGGACGCACACTAACTGGTGAAAAGATCAACTCCATTCACAGTAGTAACACTCTTAACACACCTCATACTACAAACCACATATAATTAATCCCAGCACTACTCCTTTGGAGTCAGCTAAGGCTACGACAGTCGAGTGGCGGGACTCGCTACACGGAAGTTTGCCAAAGATCAGGAACGTATACCTCAAAATCAAGAGGCGAACATAAAGAAATCAAATTGGTCTATACTAGCTCGTATAAACGATATTGGATAGCATTAGAAATTGTTAGCTTTGAGGCGGCTCATTCCGATACTGCGTGTCAGTTCTAGGACGTTTGTGGCCAGGTGGTTTATTTCTGGTCACCTTAATTCACGTGTATTTAAAAGCGTTTGCATGTTTTTGTTTATCTATGCGAGTGTAGCGCGAGAACAACTGTCCAACTGACATTTTTATTGCTATATATTTATTCAGCTTACACTAAGAACGGTGACGTTTTATTTAAATTATGCTACGTCTTATCATTGTAATGATTATGGCTAACATTTTGTCAGTTTTCTAATAATGTGTACACTCTTAAGTAAAACGCTAGTGCTCAAAGGAATAATTTAGGAGCAATTTTGGTGTTTTTAGGGTTACTGTTGTGAAGAATGTGGGGTTATTTTGAAGCGTTTTAGGATTCAGGTATTATAAAAAACTGCATTCTTCGTAAATTTGTATATTGCTTTGTCCCGAAATTGACCCCTGAAACCTCGGACCCGAATAGGGAATTTATGAAATCGGATATAAAGGCGGTTGCGTTGTCTGCTACATTTTGTAGTTCTTCACATTTTTTTGACGGGATTGTGTAAGCCGGATTACTGGCCGCCGAAAAAATATTTTAACGCTGGATAAGGATAGAGGCGGTTTGATTGATTGCCCAAGGCTATTTAGTGTGTGGTTTATTTGGATTACCATTTATATTTGTCTCAACTGGTCAATCAACCTTTATACTCTAACTCTGTTGTATGTCGGCATTATTTCGTACTTTTAATCGGCTAGTTGTGGATTTTTAATGAAGAACTGTTGAATTACCCTGTGCATTTCAACCATACAATGATTGTGTTCATAAACGACCTGTGTGCTAACTTATAGGTTCATTCAACACTACTTTTTCAGGAAGATAGGTTCAGTAGCAGTTGTTATTATTAACTAAGTAGCTTATATTGTTGGAAGAGCTCAAGACCAGTATCATATTGTCTCACGAAATGGGTTCTGAGGCATTGACCTCTTTCGTTTGGATAGCGGGTGAGCTATATACGAATCATAATATCTACTTAATATTGAAAGGAGCTTAGTAGTCTGACTTCTAGATATGCAGCCCCTTTATCCTACGGCAATCGATATCTACGTAAAAGACTATTTGCACAGTCGAAATTTCAGAAACAGTATCACCTTTGAATAGACAGCATTCGACTGTCTTTAATCCCCTCTCCTCTGAACCTTTGAGAGGCGCTAAACTGATCTTTCATCTCCGTCTCTTGTTCCTATCTCAAACCAGTTTCCATTATTTGAGCAGCCGGGCAGCACGAGCATTCCTCACGTTTCAAGATTAATTTCTCCTTTTTATCAGCTACCCGATTAATTGTTTTTTACTTCCTCTAATATTTTCCACACAGTTCCTGCATTTTTAAAATCTCTGGGCGTCGTTAGCAAATTAGGTCCAATAAATGTCTTTTCTCTCCTGCTAACGGAACGTCAACTTCACATTAAAACTCTCAGCGTCTGAACCCAGTTCTGAATCAGACAATACTTGATAATCATTGTCTTGATATCTCAAAGTGAGTGTATGTAGGAATATTTTTAAGAAGGATACCAAAGAAGCATGCTGCGCTCATCTAGACAATGCATCTAAACTCACGCAGCCTTATAGGGATCTATTAGTTCTTGTCTGAAGTGACGGCAGCCAGTGGTTTTCGTTAGCGATGCCTAGAAACATTTCTTATCTACTTTTATTTTAAGCGTTCTGACGGAATTCTTGTAATACGACGGAAATATGTTATTGATTTAGGAAATGGAGATGATATAGTTCTTCCAAGTAAAGACGTTGATAAAGTGAAGTCTTTCGAATAACTGGAGGAAATATTTGAGTACGTCTGGCAAGCTGAACTCAATTGTCCTTGTCGTCACTGTTACTAGTTACGCTGGTCAGAATTAGTCGAGGGGTTACAGTGAAGGTTGCTCAAACCAACTGACTTGATACAGACGCCTTTTTAATCGTTAGGGTTTGAGAAGTCATACATTTCTGGCCTGTTGGTGGCATAACTTTATTGCATGGAGGATTTAATCATGAGCTGACATCAGTTAGAGAACCACTGGAAAACCTGAGAGTACTGGGCGGCTGTTTCGTCCTAGTTTGGGACTCTTCAGCAGTACGCACCCAACGGGATTCGAACCCAGGACCTTCTGGTTACAAGGCGAGCTCGTAGACCATTGAGCCACTGGGACCCGATCCAATGGTCCTTGAATTCTGACTTCTGCCAATTCACGACATAGCGCGACCACTTCGCAATGTCTTCTTCGATGAGTTACTGCCTCATCTTCAACCTGCTGTGCCCTACTGGACATTGCGAAGTGGTCGCGCTATGTCGTGAATTGGCAGAAGTCAGAATTCAAGGACCATTGGATCGGGTCCCAGTGGCTCAATGGTCTACGAGCTCGCCTTGTAACCAGAAGGTCCTGGGTTCGAATCCCGTTGGGTGCGTACTGCTGAAGAGTCCCAAACTAGGACGAAACAGCTGTCCAGTACTCCCAGGTTTTCCAGTGGTTCTCTAACTGATGTCAGGTCATGATTAAATCCTCCATCCAATCAAACAAAATCCCTACAAAACCAATACTTGCATAACTTTATTCTCAAAAATCCATCAGAATATTTAAGAACTAGCCAAAATCAATAATTGCCTTTAGATTCATGGTTGTTTTACCTAAGGAAACCTTGTGATCAACTGGAAATGATATTACATGAATGTTACTGAAACGGGACTAAACAACGTGTTTTTATGGGAAGTTCTATGATCAGTACAGTGAGTTCTGACTCAACCCACTTAACATCTGCCGGATCAATTTACTGATACTTCTGCTAACACAAAGTATTCATTCTATACTGTGTGAAGAGCGAATCCCCTCTGTTATCATTGTTGCTTAATTGGTATCCGTTTGACATGTTGATGTTGGCGAACTGTGCTAACATACGAGTACTAGGTTTGCAGGTTATGCGCTGTTCATAAAAAAAGTAGCATATTAGTGTAAAGCTTCCAGCAATGATCTAATTAAAAAATAGATGTTTTCATTTAATTCACTGTTTTGTGAACCAGTTTTCTTATATGTATCTCGTGAAATGTTTTGGTTTGTTGAATATTAGATATATTTGTAGTAAATGCGTCGCTTAATTACACCTTATTGAGCTGTTATAATTCGTTAATATTCGTTTTTTCTAGTTACTTCAACTAAACTAAAGTAACATAGTTAACGCAATTGTGTAACAGTTTCTCACCATCTTTTTTTGTACATTCATTGATATCTTTTCGATCCATTTTTACAGATTTTTATGGACATACAACGTCTCTCCGGTGAAGAAAAGCTTAAATTTAGTCGTGTCTATTTCTACGGTAATTTAGGATGTTCATTTTCTAATAGCTGTCTTATTATTAGCTGGGATCCCATTTCTTCCTTTCCTGTGGTGGATAAACGTATTCTGTTTTCTGAAAGATATATTTTCTCCACAAACATATCCAGAATTTAGACAGGTCAAAAAGTGTAATTAAATTTATCACTAAATTTTTTTATTTATAGACGTCCTCTTGAGTTTTATCGGAGCTGTGTTTTGGACAATAGTTGCGATCACTTGGCTAATTATTTTCTTAAATTTCCGATCTTCCTGGGGTGAATTAGGTGATCGGTTGTCTTTTAACATCCCCCCTGGTAAACTATAATGAAGCAGAAAAAAGAATTCCACTCAAATGAATCAGCTTGGGAAGTTACAGATTTACTGGCAAAGGATGCTTCTATTGGTGAAACCCCTTGTATTTATACATCTTCATCTGGACTTCGGCATATTTTCATATCTACTAAGTCTGGATTTATGGTAATATTAAAATATGTGAATTACTTTTTTTCTTAGTGTCAAGCATTATACATAAGTCGTTATGTAGACCGTTTGTTGTACGAATATCATAGTTTATCTCAGTGTGGTCCCACGAAACCATCAGAGTTCTGGATACATGGCATTGGTCCCCTCGCTATAACGAGGACAGCTGAGGTCGCGTTGCATTTAACTCGCCGGATGTACCCTGGACATCTTGAAATGTCTACATACACTAGCAGCTGTTCAACTAAGAAACATGTGAGTTAGTGTTTTTATGTAATCATACCTACTATGCTGATTGGACGCTAGTAACTAGTATGCTGTGTCCAGTCCTTTGTTTGGTGCAGACTGAATTCTGTCAGTCAGGTTTGCAATGTGGCCACCATTCTAGGTAGCTTGCCATCATGGTGCACTTTGAATTGTTGGTGTTAGATGGGGGAAAGGTCTCTGACTGCAGCACTGGGTGACACGGATACGAATCTCAGAAGGGACGTGAATTCCTTCAAGGTTGCAGATACGCCTTGCTGACTGGTGAGTGCCAACCAGCACGAAACCTAGGTCCAAGGCTTCCTGCCGATTTCCTTCAACCACCTAACATCAAGAATACTTACTGTTCTTCGGTAAAATATAATTCTCTGTGAAATTCACTGTTCGTACTACAAAACTTGGTGTAACTTTTGTGTGCTTAATAAAATATCACCAGAGACCTCAATTATTTGCAATCTTTATGCATTCTGTTTTTTTAGATTATATCTCGAGTAGAAAATGAAGAAGTCCATGTAAAAGAAGAGCCACAGGTGAAAGGTGCTATTCACATTCAAATACGTCTAATTCCTACACGCGATGCTGGACGGCCTTCATAACCTTTAACCATTGTTCAAATAATATTTATCTAGGTTCTTACCTGTGATTTGAGATACCTTTATCATGATGTCTGTATAATGTACACCAAATAAAGTGTATTCTGCTTCATTTTCTCACTTTTTTCTGTTAAATAAATGCCTGTTTGTCATTCAAAATGTGATGATTTTACAATTTCAAAGGGTGCCTGCAAGTCTATTGTAGATTTTACTTACTTCGCTTATTTTTGTGTATGGTGGCAATGCCAAATTGAGGGGAGAGTGTAGATAAAAGAGGAAGAGGCATATTCGTAGGTATGTTTAAATTCAACAGTCAAGGAAAATAATTACTATTCTCCTTGTAAGGATTTCAGCATGTTCAGGAAGCTTTTTTCCGCCCCAAATTCATTTCTGTGTGTGGCTTATGAAGGAGTCATATCTCAAGCTTAGCAAGTTAGTACCGTTACTGACTGGAAATGTAAGAATTGAAGTTTTTCAAAAGTCATAATTCTTTCGACTAGATAATTTTTTATACATTATAATTCAGCCTAAGTTAATTAGAATAAGCGTCAAAATGTGTTTCTGTTATTATATTGTTGAAATACAAACTTGATATACCATGGGCATCAAGAGATGTGCCACACACATAGTTTGTGCTAGGGATAGGATACTGTCCTCAACTGCAAGTTGAAACAAGTGGTTGACTTGAGGGACCTACCGATCTTCTGATTTGAAGTCTGATCCACAAGGCAGTGGAGCCGGGTTCCCATGGTGACTAATGCAAGTTTAGGCGTCATCCTATCCTTTCAGATTCTGAAGCCCATTTACACCACAGATTTGAAGTTAAGGCTTTCCACCTTCCCTAGGTGGACCTGTCTGTCAACCAGTCTGATTGTCAGCACCCTTTCACATTTTTGAGGAGTTTTCCCCTCCAGCTGTGTAAAGGCAGTGAATAGAACTCACTTGGCAGAGGCTATGAATGCGTGTTCATGTAAAAGCATTTCGACAGGGAGGCCGAATTCTGCCCACCCTCTGTATGTCGAGGTCTTTTATGGGGTGGGGTGTACGTTTTTTAGGCTTAAATAATGTTGGCCATCCTTTTCTTGTCTTTGTTGCAACGTCGCTTTGTTGTTTGACTAATTAACTGGTGTAAACAGTCATTTTAATAATAATTGCTGGAGAGTTATAGCGAAAGGACTCAATTATTATTGTTCCCTTGGGTTCGGAGCGGAGCATAGGGCTTCGACAGTACATCTCCACTTCGTCCTGTTCTCTGAGGTCCCCTTAAGGTGGCCTCACGATCGCCCATAGTCTCTCAGCCCCTCTCACGATCCACTCCATATCACCCTCGAACGCCAAAAGAGTTGTTTCCCATTCGGGTTCCACCCAAGTGAAGGCCTAACGCTGTATGTCATTCTGTAATCTCCTCAGATTGCGTCCAACCCATCTCCATACCTGTCGAATGATTTGTTCTTGGTTGGTTTTATTCCCATAGTTTCTCATCATCGTTCAAATTCTGAATATCATTACTCATTAAATTGTTCTTTTTCCTACCCACTACTGTTCGTTCTAGTTCGTTACATTCTCATCTTTTCTATTGTCTATTTCTACAGATAATTACAAAATAGGTTGGTTTACATATGCTGAAAGTTCCTAGTTGATTCGTCAGTTAGTTTGTTGATCAATTCCAAATGATTTCACTGTATATGAATTTATACCCTTTTCTGTATTAGCTTTGTGACTTGTATTTTCGGCAAGCAATGTTTTGGTTTGTTTCTCTTCGAAATTCGTTATATTCAGACTGCAATTCTTAACTGAAAGTCTGAACCAAATCAGGGCTGAATAAATCACAACTTTTAGGCTTATACTGAACAAATGGTACATTTTGAATCCCAGACAAAATGACTGATGAGAGTGTACAAGGTGAAAGAAACAGTCCATGTTTTCCAAATACTACTAACTCGGAGTCAATTTATTTTTTGCAGCTGCTTTTATTTGTCTCAGTCGTCTTCCGACAAAAACATTTTACCTTTTGAAGACATGAAAATCAAGGTAATCACACGACTTCCTAAATTCATTTATATAGTTCCATTGTTTTTCTCTTGATTTTCACTTGATTTGATTGGTAATAGTATTTTCCATATTTCAGGTATGAGTGACGAGTCATTCCTATTGCATGTGTTGGCTGTAGACTCGATGAACAAGGATTCAGTAATCAACCTCTCTCTCCACCTACCTAGATTACTTTTTAGAATTTTAACCCTCTCCCACCCTATTGTGTGGTTGTGTGTTAGCGCATGCATTGCAATTGCTGAGCTTTTTTCTAAATTACTTATTTTCTCGGGGTCAACCATTCTTACCTTAGCTAAATTCTTAACTATCCTATAAAATTCATTAGGAAGATCATTAAAGGCCAAAAACAAAATAAAAAGAAAAATAATTGTGAAACTAGTAATAATAACATAAATAAGAAAGAATATAAGTCATCCACAGTTATACCATATAAAGAGGGGACATCTGAGACACTACGTAGGATTCTGAATAAAATAGGAATTAGGGTGGCATTTAAACCTACAAACTCACTCAGGGACAAGCTCTGTAGGTTAAAGGACCCAGTTGACCCAATTAGACAAAATAATATTATTTACAAAATACCATGCAATGAAATCTAGAATGGGAACATAATTATATCCTTTAACTGTTGTTTATTGTGTAGTAATGGCTAATGACATACTTTTCCGTCAATCGCAGTTAATTTTCAAGTATTGGTTTGGTAGGGATTTAGTTTGATTGGATGGAGGATTTCATCATGACCTGACATCAGTTAGAGAACCACTGGAAAACCTGAGAGTACTGGGCAGCTGTTTCGTTCTAGTTTGGGAATTTTCATCAGTGCACGCCCACCAGGGTTCAAACCCAGGACTTTCTGGTTATAAGGCTAGCGTGCTTGTAGACCATTGAACCTTTGGGACCTGATCCAATGGCCCATGAATTCTAACTTCTGCCAATTCACGACATAGCGAGACTATTTCGCAATGTCTTCTTCGATGAGTTACTGCCTCATCTTCGACCTGCTTTACCTTACTGGTCACGGGTGCGTACTGCTGAAGAGTCCCAAACTGGGATGAAATAGCTGTCCAGTACTACCAGGTTTTCCAGTGGTTTTCTAACTGATGTCAGCTCATGATGGAATCCTCCATGCGATTGCAATTAAATTTACAGAGTTAACAGTAATCAACCACAGACTATATGTTCATCTACAGCGAGTCAGTCATTAGAGTCAGCTTAGTAGTGCTCACAAACATTAAAGAGCTTCCGAAAGTTGTTTGAGTCAATGTATACCAGTTTAGCCTTTGATCTTACTGATGAAAGTCTTTTTTACGTTTTATTCAGCATTTATATGAAAATATGAAAACAGAAGTTATTCCCAGTAATTCAACTCTGTTATTAATATGTTTTCATTAGCTCTTATTGATATCAAAATGACTATTGAAGATATTATACTTGTTCTCGGGAAAGTGTTCTCCAAAGCGATACTTTTTATACTAATCCATTGAACGATAGTTTACACATTATCAGTACAGTTTTCTTATTGATGAACCTGTAAATTCATCATAATGCTTAGTCTTTGACTGATGTGACATTACTTCCTTTAAATTTCACGGTTTAGTTTGTAAAGATTTTACTAATTTCAAGTTTGATTACTGATTGATATCAGTCAGAGAACCATTGAAAACCCGGGAGTACTGAACGGTTGTTTTGTCCTAATTTGGGACTCTTCAGTAGTACGCGCCGATAAGCCCACGTGGGAGCAAGGATAGTAAGCAGCAATATATTAAGGTACATAAATTTTAAGATTATGTAACTCACTGGTAAATTGTCAATACATAAATGAGATATAGAGAAATATTGTGAGTCAAACTCATTTGATTAGATATAAGACGTATGAAGCATTACGTATATTAAATGATGGTGCAAATAAGAGTGAAAACAAGTGGACACTTACGCTTAATAAAAGATGACATGACCGACTATGATTAAATGTTGAGCTACCAAAGTCGGAGAAGACTTACTACAGCTCTTATTCGTTTATTAACAATGGCCTCTGCAAACTTCAAGAGATTTGAGATTGATTATTTGTCTTTTTATTTTTAGAGAATTCAAGGTATTTACCTGTCCTCTGTCATTCACATGTCTCATGACTACACTGTTCACAGATTTACTTCCTCTTAATTGTAGACTTTTCGGCATGTGTTCAAGAAATCTAAAATACATCCTTCTTTCTGTTTTTCCAATGTATGTGTAGCAGAATTATTGAATTTCAGTATTTAGCTTGTGTGTGGCTGACAAGATTCTAACGGAAAAGACGATGGATCCGTTTTATGCTGCACCATATGTTGTTATTGGTTTTGTTCGAATAAAATTTTACTGCTGGACATTATAATTTACATTCTATTTTGGTATTAGATGCCTACAGATAGTACTGAATTACTAATAATAGCTTGAAGAAATTTTTGTAACTTAGGAAAAGGAAATTGAATAGCATTTTTTTCTTCACTTGTGAACCCTTACTATATTTCAAATCAAGTCACTTTCATAAAGACGCTCGGGACCTTCGATTATGTAGAACACCCGAATTACTTTATGTCTATCTCACTTGGATTTATACAGACACAGTTTTAAGACATGAGAAAACATTTTAATGATGGCGAAAAAACAGCCACTTAGAAGGTCGCCATGATCCTTTTTTTTACCATATCTAGTTTTGAAATGTAAAGTCTTCGCAATCAACTATGATTTGAATCTGTTGGTTTTGAAAAAAAGCTAATTACTTAATTTCTAGTATACTTTACTGTTAATTGTTGAATATGACTTTGTTGTTATTCCAGATATTTCTCTTGTGCAATAAAATCTAACGCCTAATGACTGATGTCAGTTCAAGTTTAATTCATTGGAATGAGAAAGAAATTTTACCGAGGGGAATTTTTCTTACTTCTTCTGGATCCGGTGGAGATCGTCTTCTCTTCTGGCAATCTTCGTTAGCAAGTAATCCTAGTAAAGTGTACGATGTGAAAAAAGATCAGTCTACAAATGATAATCGCTGTTCATCTAATATTGGTGCTTCTTTTAGTCAGGAAACTGAATTATCAAAGTAATTCTAATTATATTATTATTAAATTCTATTTTTAACATTGTGAACTAGAATGATTGTTTTTAATTGTTAGTGAATAATGTCTACCAAATACTTTGGTGGTTCACTCGTAGAATGCTTACCAGCCACTCATATGGACTGGGTTCGATTCCCGGTTGATGCACTCCTCTCAGCTGTTAGGTAAGCTCATTAAAGAGGAGGTTAGCAACTACACACCGTAAAAGCAACAAAACTGCTTCTGAAACTTCCCAGACAAAGCTTTAAGTCTTATATTTCACTTGAAACTCAAAGGTATGAAAAAAGGAGTTTTCATGAAAAATACCTATCCAGACGTGAGTTTAAGAACAAACAATTCAGCAAAGAGTCTCTTTTTAGTGAATTCATTCACTTAACTGTACAACACTAGTCACTCAATACGTAAGGAGAATTTATTCAAAGTCGTCTACAAAGTGAAGAGAAGTTTAATTGAATTTTAGATTTTCCCGTCGGTTGATTGGACCGAAGTGCTAGGTCTCAGGTTGACATGTCGGATGACGAGTCCCAAATAGGACGAATGTGCATCCTGGATTCCACTGCTAGTGACCATCCATCAGTTGAAGAGAAGTTTCCCGAAAATGTTACTCTTCCGTATACGTTGCGTTGCCACGACCTTGGCGATTCGGATGGAAAATCCTGATGTATGTAAACAGAAGGAGCTTCTCCAACCCCTCCTTCTACTTTAGATATATAATTCTGAGTTCAACTTTTTGTTATTATTACTATTTTTTAAAATTTTGTATTGCATTTTAGTAACATCATTTTTCTTAACTAACCATTTATTCACTCTTCCTGCCTACTACATAATTCATTATGGACATTTGTCTCCATGCTGTTTCATTAACACCCTATTTTTCTGGACGTTTTTCATATTGCGTAACCCTAGTTAAGACTTACTAATCTTCACTTCATCACATTTTTGAAACATTTTGGTGTCGTAAACAATAACCCTAACTAATTTTTATTTTGTCTGGGAAACCTAATGTAAACTCGCATACAAAATTAATCATATATAATTACGATTGTACAGTTAAGTGAATGAATTCGTTGAAACGCGACTCTTCGCTGAATTGTTTGTTCTTAAAAAATTGTTCATCAAGAAATCGCCTGACTTTCCTCTTATCCAGGGAGTAATTTTAGCAAGGCAAAACATAACAAACAGTAATAAAAATTACTAACTCAACGGATAACATGCTTTTTATCTGAAGGTAGCTGACATTATGAAATTGTATCAGTTAAAGAACCAGAAAGTATCAGATGGGTATTATACTCCTTGTTCTCTGTTTTCAGAGAATGTTGATTTAATCTGTTATTCAATAACTTCAAGCATTGAGATCTATAAAATCACTAATACAGAAATGAAATTTAAGTTTTAATAAACTAGTCGTCACCTTAAAATGTTTACTTAAATTGACTTTTTCTCACAGGCACTTTACAAAATGGTTTTTCAGCCCAGTCACTAAATTACATTTTAACCCACTTACCCATTTATCGAGTGCTGACAGTTTGTTTTGGAGTGAATAGTGTTCTTGGATTAAATCCTAAGTGTAGTAAGGAAGATTCGATGTGACCTCTTTTAAGTGCTGTGGTGTTACTTAGTGATGGAGAGTGTTTCACCCTTAAAATAAAAGATAATATAGTAATTCACAAGGTCTCATATGATATAATAATTGGGTTGGGTGCATATCGAAAAACTATTGTTCATCAGTATAGAAATAGGATCGTTCTACTAACTTTAAAGTAATCATAGATTGATTGGTGGATGGTGACTAGCAGTGGAATCCAGGATGCGCATTTTGTCCTATTTGGGAATCGTTATCTGGATGTATCTGCATTCCCCAGTGAGTGATTGTGTCCCCACTGAGGCTGGAACCGGACCATGACCAGGCATTGTCGAAACATTTGCACAAGGAGTCAACATGTCAATCTTAGACGGAGTACTCCGGTCCAATCAATCGACGGGGAAATCTAAATTGAATTAAATAATCATAGTATAGTTCATTTCAATCACCATGTAGATGAAAACTGTAAGCACTGTTGGAATTTATTCTGCTTTGTAAATACTTTCTTCTGTGTGTTTAGAATATTTCATTATTGGTATTGTGAATGATTGAGTGATTCGTGTGGATTAGTTGTTAAAACTTGTGGTGTCTGTGTAATAATCCAGTTCCATTAGTTTTATTGGATAGAAGAAATCTTGTTATTCATAACTTCGAATTATTAAGTAGCGGTATCGGTTGCATGTTTGGCAGAATACTTGCCAACCGCGCAGGTGGTTTGGTGTTCGATCCCCAACCGACGCACTCCTTAACCTCACTAAGCTGCTGATAAGACCGGTAAAGAGGAAAGGTTGGGCGTGAGGCTAGCAACCGCACCCCGTAAAAAGAAACACCACCGATATCGAAACTTCAAGGCTCTAGGTTGGAACCCTATTTTCCTCTGGGAACGTAAAGGAATAAAATAATAATAATAATATTAAGTAGGCATCATCTTTTTATTTTTTTTTTAATTTTTTCATCCCATTGCTTGTCTTCCTAAGCTGATTAATTTAATCTGTTTAGGAATTTAACGTCTTTTCACTAAAACCATTGAAATTAGTTTAAAAACAAATGATTCACCGAATGCCCTTCTAATAGACTTCAGACTTCCATCAACACCTGCCTCCACTCGATACTAAAGATAAGATAAGCAACAGAGGGCTTTAGCAGACAGCGAATCAGCCAAGAATATACTGTTGCCCAACAAATATGCAAAAGTAAATGGTGATGGATTAGATGTATGCCGAAGAGACTGTTGAGGGACATAACACACCAAATCCTAGATTGAAACTTGAATGGATGAGGGGACTGGGAGTGAACATGGAGAAGATCAAATGAAAGTAGAAATGAAAGCTTGTGGGCGTCCAGGGAGCCAGCTCAAAGTGATAGCAGGAAAACGAGTGATATAGCGATGTGCCGCTAAAGTTTTCAGTTTCATTCAGAACACATGGAATGAGTTTTAATAATAACGTCATTTGTAAGGCGTAAATTCGTAAACATGTGGAAATGACAAGGAGTTTTCCTTAGCTGCGGTCCATTATCATTGGAAACATGATGAACAGTAATTCCTTCGAATGTCTGCCCTTCCTTGTGAATGAAATGATACTTTTAAGTATATTTTGTCTTACAATTTATGAATAAGAAAAAAAAGACGTAATAATTTATACTTGTCACCTATTTAACTTTCTTATCTGTCCTATTCTGACTGCTTTGTTTAAGGCCTTGCTTTTTGCGTTATTCAATTTTCGAAGATGGTATCTCACTTTTTTTATTAATACCGTCTTTGTGATCTATAACTGAACATAACATCTACCTTTGCATAGCAGTGGGTCGCGTACCATTATTAATATATAATTCGACTTCTTTCCAATTTTCATCTTTCTCAATTTTCCTTTTTCTGTAACAACAGTAATCATCCTAACAATTAAAAGCGGTTATCATTCGATTTATGTTGGTTTTCTGATTACAAATATACATATATGTTTTTATTCTTTTACGTTCCCCAAGGAAAATAGGGCTCCAACCTAGATTCTTGAAGTTTCGTTAACAGTGGTGCTTATTTTTACAGGGTGGGGTTGCCCAACCTTTCCTCTTTACCAGTCTTATTACTGGTTTGGCGAGTGCTCCAATTTTGATTGCACCGATACACTTTGCCTGCTAACATTCATTTCCTTTGCATATTTCTTTTAGAGATCATACAGCATCTGTCTCAAGTCTAACAACACTGTTGACTACTCCTAGTCCCAAGATAAAAAATACAGCTAATATCAATAATCGAGGTCCTGTCAGTACTAGTGAAAATCCGTTTGCACTCAGTGTAAGTAGTGTATTACTAAATATATATTAAGATTATCCAATAATTTCCCCGGAGTATAACATGCTATTTGTCTTCACCTCGCTCGAACAGTATCCTATAAAACTCACTGTTCCATTTCTTTTCAGGTTAATTTAAGTTTTTGTTGATTCATTACGTTGGAATGAAATGCTCAGTCTCTGCTGAATTGTCGGATCCTAGTGCGGACGCTGTGATGATATTTAAGAAGTAACATGAAGTCAACAGCAGTTGAACATCTCGGTTCAGTCAGTCAAGGAGAGATTCAAAATTGAATTAAAAAGGGATAATAACTGATACCTGTTGTCCAGTGGATAATGATTCGGCGTATGGAACAATGAGTGCAGGGTTGGGTCTGGTTGGGAACACCATCACTCATCGGGAGTGCATGTACATTCACTGATAAGTCCAAAATCGAACGAAGTATGGCTCCGTTATTTTATGAGTAGTTGAATTCTCACTAGGACGAACGATTTGATGATAAAACCCTTCATTTTACAATAAAGGGAAAGAAATTCAAGTGTGTGGGGAAGGCGAAAAAGTGTGCATATTGGAAGTTTTGATTTTAGAAGGCAATATTTACAAACTATTCTCAACACAGGTTAATTATTACATCTGAGATATTGTCAACAGAAATAATTTTATCTGAGGAAGTCATATGTGGTTTGAACTGTATGTTAGTAGCTCTCTGTAGCTATAAATATCTTTGTATCTCGAATGTGATTACGCAATCTTTGTCATAACCCTAACTCTAAGAAGCGAGATCTTTATTGAAATGGCAATCTTTTGTCCAGAAGCTGATAAAGGCTTTCCAAGATTGTCCAAAGTAGTATTCAAAGGAAGCCTACTGGTAATGATTTGGCTTACTGTGATGGATAGTGTGCTAATTTGAAATACTTATAGCTGTTGTGATAAAAAGTAACTATTTGAAAACAGTAAAATTGACTGCAACATCTTTTGTTGCTGAGAATGTATAATATATATAAGCACAGTTTCGTAGACTGACTTTGATGTAATATAGTGACGATTGTAATTGGAACAAACCATGAATCATTGCATTATGCAAAATCGATTGATTAGGGTTTGGCTTTAACATGTCTGTATGTCTGTTTTCGACATAGAACTTCGCACCGATGTGCAGCAGTCCATGTAGCCCACAAAGTAAAAGAAGGAAGTAAAAGAAATGTAAAACAGAGACAGCAGACAGAGATATGTGACAAAAGGAATAGTAAGATCGAAGAACAATATAGTTTCATTGGCAATCATAAGTCACAAGGAGTGGATGCATCTGCGCCAGCCACTGAGAACGAATTTGAGTCATATCACCAGTTATCTCCAGCCACCATTGTTTTTTACCGTCCCGAGGACCCCAATCAGTCAGGAAGTCTACACATTGCTACATGGCTGGCTTAAACGAACTGTTGTGGATTCCATTGACAGGTGCCATGTTTTGGTTTGACCACCGCTAGCTCTTTTCCAGCCTAACCCTATGTCAGCTAACATTGCCCGTCAGTCGACGAAGGCAATGACTAGGCATGCATGCGTAACACATGTCCTAACCATCTCAGTCTTTGTAACTTCACAACTTCGTCGATTGATTTCCCCTCCTTACCTAGCACTCGACGCCTAACCTCGATATTGCTTACCTTATTATACCATTTCACACGTGAGATAGAACGCATGCACCTATGATCAAAGACAGCTAATCTTTTCATGTCTTTCACTCTCAATGGCCAGGCCTCACATCCATAAAGGAGGACGGAACGAACTACTGAGCAATACACACGCCCTTTGGTCGATAGCCGGATATCACGTCTACGCCAGAGTCGGCATAAACTGCCATATGCGAAACTAGCCCTCTGTATCCGTGCTGAGATTTCGTCAGAGATCAACTCGTTGAGGCTGGTAGTACTTCCCAGATAAGGGTAGCATTCAACGTGCTCTGCCACTTCACTCCCTATTTCTGAACTAGGAGTCAGTGTAGTCCAGTCCTGTAACATCATCTTGCATTTGGCGGGAGCGAGTCGCATGCCAAACATTCGTAGATTGCAGCTCGAGGTATTCAAAAGACTCTGCATTTTCTCAGTGTCTTCACCTAGGGGGACTATATCATATATTCTAAGTCAACGAGATTGTTCCCTGGTAGCAAGTCAATCCCTGAGTCTTTGAAGTGAGTTAGGGTTAAGTTCATTAGTACATCTGTGATGAAGTTAACTAGAAATGGGAGTAATGGGCATCCCTAACGGGCACCACTAGTCGTCACCACTGCTGATGACAACTCGCCGTAAGCCCTCGTATTCATGCAGCCAGGTGAGGGCTTTAACCTACTTTATCCCTTCAACTTTATTAATCGACCGATTACAGTTTCTGTACATATACTGGAAGCTTTAAGTACTTGTTCATCGTGAAGTGTCAGTTTTGTTTTTCTTATTCTCGCAATTTTGTTTTTTAAATATTAAAGTAGAATTTAAGTTTGATGATCTGTTTGTAATTTACTAGAAGGCATAGGATAATGAATATTTATTCTTTGGAATCAAACTGTCGATTTATTCACATGTAGTCAAAACATAACTTCATCACCACTTCCATTTACAATAATGACAGTCTGTATAGCGTGTACATAATACTTGATTATATTCGACTGGTATATCTTGGTTTCATGTTTGTCGTTTACATGACTGAATCTAATAGGATTCATCAGTAGTTCTGTAACGGTAGGAGAAAAGAGACTTGGTAACGGCATGCCTATTTGAAATTTGGTATCTGTGTATAGGGAAATTGTGTACACCTTATTTCCAAATCGTCATTTGTGCAGGTCTTCCGTGTTGTGCTACGTCTTTCCTTCTTATTGTTTTTTTGTCTTCCATTTCACGTCTCCCGTGTTTTGCCGCAATCCTGAATTATTTTCCTTCTATAACGCCAAATCTCTCTCCTTGCTCTCTGATATTTTCATACCGATGAACATCTCTTAATATATTTAATTGGTGGATGGTGACTAGCAGTGGAATCCAGGATGCGCATTTCGTCCTATTTGGGACTCGTCAGCTGGATGTACCTGCATTTCTCAGTGAGTGATGATGTTCCCACCGAGGCTCGAACCCAGTGTCCATAGTTTCAAACGCCAAAGCGTTCTCCACCAGACCACCTGGGCCACGAGAGCCACCTCTTGTGCAACGGGTCATATTAATTATTGAATTGAATTTTTGATTTTTCCGTCTATTGATTGGACCGAACTGCTCGGTCTCAGGTTGACATGTCGGCTTCTTGTGCAGATGCTTTGACGATATCTGGGCATTTAGTTAGTATTTAATTGCTGGATGATGACCAGCAGCTATTTGGAACGTGGCAACTCGAACTGCTGCACTTCGGTGCCAAGTTCTATGTTGAATCCAGACAGACAGACAGCAGCGGAATCCAGGATGCGCAGTTTGGTCCTATTGCAGGTACATCCATATGACGAGTCCCAAATAGGACGAAATGCACACCCTGGGTTCCACTGCTAGTCACCATCCACCAATTAAATTCTAATTAAATGCCCAGACATCGTCGAAGCATCTGCACAAGAAGCCGGCATGTCAACCTGAGACCGAGCACTTCGGTCCAATCAATCGACGGGAAAATCAAAAATTCAATTAAAGCTCTTAATATACTGCTGATAAATCTTATCACTAGAACTCTCCATTGTTCTCTTGTGGTTTTCTGGTGTATCGTGTTTTCTGAGTAATACAACAAAATATTAGAAATCGGGAACTTATAAAGTGCTTGAAAACGTATCCATGTTATTAAATGAACACTGTCAGTTTATTGTATGTGTGTGTACTGCAGTGTAGTGTAATGTGAACTTCTACAACCTCATTGTACTTAGCTTTATGATACTATATGGTAGCTAAACTAAATCTCAACTGTTTATATTATTTATTATCATTAATCCTTTTAAGTGGTGGTCTGCTTAAATCACTGGGCTACCTGAATTCCCATTCATCAAAATGTTTAAAGTCTTCTGCATTTTTATTGTTTTAATCTCATAATTATATCAAATGATCACAACATGAACTCGCATGCATATTTAATTAACCTTCCAACTAAACGCTGTGCAATTGCTGAGAGAAATGAAGAAAAAACACACAGAATTAATTCTCTCTTCACTTGTAGCAACTCTATGTCACGTGGTATACTTTACATGTAAATTCTGTATACAGAGGAATTATTTTGGAACTAAATACACCGAGAATTTCTGCACTATCTGTTCACATATTGTCTGAAATAAAACTTTATTATTGCTATTGTTGTTGCTGTTATTATGTTCTGAGTGGAACATAAGTCTTCAACAACAATAACAACACATCTTCATTTCGTTTCCTTATCTGTAGTCTTTTTCAACGGGTTCCACTATTACCTATGACACCAGCCTTTTGAATTAGCTTTTGTCGATGCACTTGTCAAGTCTCTGGAGCATATAGAAGCGCTGGCTTGATATTAGTGTTAAAAAATCCGAATTTTTTTCTTACACAGAGTACAGCAGATTTCCACATTGGTTCAAGAATAATAAATGTCTGTCCTGCCTTTTAACACCGTTATCTGTACTGCCTGTAGTTGACAAGATGCTACCTCTATGAATGAAAGATGTGACTTCCTTAAAATTTCTTCTTTGTGATGGTGATTGATGTTTGTTGTTGCTGTTGTTGTTGGTTAGGTATCTTTATCACTGTTGTCTTCTCTGTGTAAACTTGTCTTCGATGCTTCTTCTGATAACTTGCCGGTTTTTGCCTTTAGATCTTCGAGCTTGTGTAGTGTTAGACATAAGTTGTTGTCGAAGTTCTTCATTGTACTTAGCTTCTTCTTATACTGAATGGTAACCACATTAAACCACAACTAAAGATAATTTGAAATAATCTAAGTACAGTTACCTTATTCTTCTATTCATTATTTGAGTAGATGATCACACTGAAAATACCAGTTATCAGCATGAATATTCTCTTTTTTAGTATGTTTTATTATATTTTATTTCTGATTACTAGGATGAGTCATGTGACAATACGGATCTTTTAGTCGGTATTTATCCTCGCTTCCTAACTGTTCTTCTCTTTACCTTTAGAGTAATGCTAAGTTGATTTTCGAGTACTCGTTTGCGTGAGTTTGTTTGTTTTCAAGTTAAATCATGGATTGTTATCAGTTAGAAAACTCCTGACAGCTACGAAGCATTGAACAGTTGTTTCTCTTAGTTAGGTAGTATGCTCCTATGACCTTACAGAGGATCGAACTCCTTGACCTTCAGGTTATGAGGTGATGTGGTCGATGACTGTTCTGCAACTGAAACAAACTCCAATGGTCCATGAATCCTAACTCATGGGCGAGTATTTGACTTTGCACATGGCCCGCCTTAACGCAACGGTCGTGACTTCTCAACAGAACTGCAAGCAACTTCATCATGTAGTCGTCAATCACTCACTAGTAAGTATTAGAACACTTTTCAAGTGTTCGTTTTCGGGGATTCGACTAGTTAATTTTGTTAGACGACACTTATTACTCACTCTTGTTATTATTATCATGTACAAATGTATTTTTTCAAAATTATTTAGTTTCATCACTTTTCAGATTACGATTTTTCTAATTTGTCATTTTCCAAAGTTTATTTTTATCATTTTGTTTTTTAGTTAATCTCAGATCGTACAATGTCATGTAATGAAAGCACTCTAGGCAACAGTCCTATTTCCAGTGGGCTTAATCCAAACTTTATTGGTTCATCAGTTGATCGTACATTGAATAATTGTCCAACTATCTGTTCAAATATTACGCCTAGTCTGTGTAATACTAGCACAATGTCTTCAAATAATCCTGTCGGCAATGTTACAACAAATCTGTCTACCTCTAATATAGTTCTTGGTGGTATTTATTCAACAGACTCATCATTACAAGTTCCTTCGAGTGAATCACCTTTAATAATTGGTAATTTAGGAATCTCGAATATCGAAGGTATTCCTGCAAATGTTCTGCTCAGCCTATTACACCAACAAACGCAAGCACTTCAACGTAAAATTTATATCAAGGTGATTTTTAGTCATTTTACTGATATATGAGTTAGGTGTAGCGGATAATTTATTCATCTTTCAATGATGATTGTAGATTTTTTGAAACATGAATTTCATTTAATCAATTTTATTGGTAAATTTTCCATTGGATAATTGTAACTTTCCATTCTTTTGAGTTGAATCTTACTGTTATTATCTTGGAGGAGATTCGTTCCCATAGCATAAGAGCTTTGATGCTATTGTTGAAATCATGATAGCCACTGTCTCATTGTGTTTGTGGTTGTCATCTGGGTGGATCAGTGACTCTCCAATTAGCAATTTGGAGAGTCCACTTCCATTCCACTTGCTCTCACAGATTTCCAGCACTTCTGTGCCACACCTCATTTTATTAGTAATCTGTGCAACTTTCCCAGCCTCGAACATCGTGTGAACATTCCATGTCGCCATGCTTATTTGTGGTTTCGTCAGAAGAAGCACTGATTTCATATTGGAGTTGAAAATCCACATCTTATTTTTCATGCTGAGTGCTGTTGATCTCCACACAGGCTTGAGAGTAATGAAAGCTTACCTGGCTTTCCCAAACCTTGCTTTGATATCCTCGTCAGTTCCGTCCGCCTGTAGTTGAAACGATGCTTCCCAGGTAGGCAGATAAAGGAGGTTGCTTCTTTCAGATTTCACCTATTTATACCGATTGTTGTCTGTTGTTGTTGTTGCTGTTGGTGTTGGCCAGGAATCTTCATCACCTCTGTTTTATCTGTTCACCTGTGGTCCTATCTTCTCTGGATGCTTCTTCTGCCAGCTTGTTGCTTTTCACTTGCATATCTTCCAGTTTGTGGGAAATCAGACATACATCATCGGCGAAGTTCAGTTCCTCTTAGTTTTTTGTGTGAGTCCATTTTATGCCTGTTTCCTCATTGCCCGCTGTTTGTCGCATTATCCAGTCTCTACCACAATCAGGAAAATCATTGGCGATAGTAGGCAACCAGCTTGTCTTACTCCCGTCTTCACTTCGAAGGATTCCGTGAATTTCCCGTTGTAGATTACTTGGCATGCAGCACTGTCGTCCAACTGTTGGATGAAGTGTATAGTTGTTGGCGGCACCCCGTAGTAGTGAAGTAGTTACCGAATCACCTCTCAATCGACACTGTCGAAGGCCTTTCCAAAGTCGATGAAGTTGAGATAGAGAGCTTATTGTCATTCTAAGCTCTGTTCAATGATGATCCGTATTGTTGCGATTTGATCGATGCATGACTTGTTTCTTCTTAATCCAGTCTGTTCTGGTTTTTCATCCAGATTAGCGTGTTTGATTCTCTCCAGGATGATGAGGCTTAGTATTTTGCTTGGGATCGACAAGAGTATAATGCCGCACCAATTCTTGCATTGACGTAAGTCTCCATTCTTCGGCAGCTTGAATAGGTAGCCTTTCTTCCAATCCTCAGGTACCTTACCCTCTTTCCACACCTTCTCCAGTAGTGGTATCATCAAGTCCGCTGATGTTTCTGAGTCCATTTTCACTGCTTCTACGAGGGCTCCATCTGGTCCTACTGCTTTTCCAGTTTTCAGTATCTTTGTTGCCTTCAGGATTTCTGTTTTCGTCGGAGGGTTAATATCCACTGGTAGTACTGCTTCCGCTGTTAGTATTATTGATTGTCCATCGCTTTCTGGCTTTCCAATGGTTCTCTAACTGACGTCAGTTCGTGATCAAACTTGAAACAAATCAAATCCCTGCAAACAGATTCTTGAGAATAATCTTCATTAATTGTTATTGCAAATAATGATATGAAATATGTCACTTACCAATCACATCTTCGTGTATGAACTTTATCTATTATACTGAGGTTAATGATTCCCATAATAATTAAAATACTGATTACCGATAACTTCATCTTCGGGTTCGGTATATATCTATTTTATGTGAATGTGAAGTTTGTGTATATCGGTTAATTAAACATTTTTTGCGAAACGAACCACAAAATAATAATAATAATGGTTAACCTACTTGTGCTTAACTCTTCCTATTATTTTACTACTATTGGTCAAGTATATCTCCCCACCTACATATTCCCTATTCACAATTCATTTTCACAGTTAGAAAACAGTATATTTGTTGGAGCTGCATTCAACTTATCTCCATCGGATACAGAAGGTATTGGCCTCAGCGAAGACACTGATGACTCGAATACAAAGAGCTCTGATGGTGAATCACTTCGTACAACAACAGGTGGAGCTCATACTATGATTAGTTTTACTGTTGGCTTTCTTATGGATTCATCTGCACCACCTTCTGTATTATCCTATCTTACTGAATTATCCAGATTGGTAAGTAGTATAATGATAAGAAAAAGAATTTTCTGAACTAATCATATCGAAAAGTATTTTCTTAACAGCGACTTTCTAGAATTCAATAGAGTTAGATAACTTTTACTGACCTGCCTCAATCCGTGTATTCATTGTTTTTTTTCTGACAATGGACTGAGTTATTTCGAAATTTTGCATTGTCAGTTAGTCGTTTAGATTATCAAATTTTGAAGGGATTGGGGTACATTTCAATGTAGATTTCGTCAAGAATCAACACAAGTTAGAAATCATTGAAAATTAGGGAGCACTAAACATCTGTTTAGCCCTAGATTGAGACTTTAGCAGTGCTCACCAATGAGCTAAGTCCTCTTAACCTTAAGGTCCAGAGTTGAAAATCTGATGGAGTCGTGGGTGTACACTGATGGAGAGTTCCAATCTAGGATGAAAGAGCTGTCCAGTATACTCTATGCTTTTCAGTGATCGCTATCCGTTGCTTGTTCGTGAAGAAATCCACATTGAAAGCAATCATTCAATTTTATAGTGATTTTTATGGTTAATCATATGTTTGCAGTGACGATACTTCTTGTGATAATTAAGTATGAGTATTAGCTTAAACTGTATCATAGATCGTCAGTCAAATTGTCCAATAAAATAATTATGGAAGCTCTATGTTATTCAGATTTAATTCCAGATTAGTGTGTTGAGTTTCATGAGGGTAAATAATTGCAGTCACCTGGAGAACTCATCAAAGTATTCTTAGGATAGATTGTTCTAGATATCTGATTCGTTTTTAATCAGTTCTTCTAAACACTAAGTACGTTTTTGGAACTTCTCTTACACAGTGGTATAGAGGAACAATCTACAGATAATCTCTGAGAATATCCTCTGCATTTTTTATCCCAATTAACATTATAAGTGATAATTTCCTCTTTATATATTATTCTGTTTTAATAGTAATATCAATTGTGATAAAATATCTGTGATTATAATGATAGTTAAACATTAAGCGATCAAGAATTGGTTATGTGCTTTATGAAATGGTTCATGGAATCGTTTAAACCTTATTATTTTCTTTCTATTCCTTTGCGTCCCCACTGGAACATAGGACTTCAAGCTAGAGTCTAATTCCATTATAGATAAGATTTTATTTTGATAAATCGCACAGTGTTTACAGTTATATGAACTGATCAGTTCATATAACTGTAAACACTGTGCGATTTATCAAAATAAAATCTTATGTATAATGGAATTATACTCTACCACAGTGCCTAAGTTTTATACTTATATTCAAGCTAGAGCTTTGAATTTTCGGTAGCAGTGGTTTTTATTTTTACGGGATGGGGCAGTTGCTAGCCTTTCCTCTTTACTAGTCTTATTATTGGCTTAGTGAGGTGAAGGAATGTGTTGGCCGGGTATCGAACCCCGGCCCATGTGTCCGGTTGGTGAGCATTCTACCGCTGTGCCAACGATGCACATAAACCTTATTAAGGTGGTGTAGAATTAATAAGCTTAGCAGGTAATTCAAACAGAATATAAGAATTATGAATTTAACAATTAAGGATGTGACCAGTGGGATAATATCGAAATTAGTTCAGAGTGGAAATAATACTAACGATCGAAATAATGAAGAATGGATTTACAAACTGTATAAATAGATTGGAAAATAGATAGGTCCAAAGTAGAAATAAGGAGCATAATAATTTAAAGTAAACAGACTAAGGTCGTCTTATTTCATCTCGTGAAAATAACCGTATATTTGTATGGATAGAATATATGACTGTCATAACACTTCCTAAGAATTAGCACTTTTTATAAGTACGTCTTTTTAAAATGCTATAATAGTGTAACGACAGCAGACAAGAGCGAGGCAACAGATCGTTTATTAAGAAAATCAAGCGATATTTATAGATTTTTACGCGTATTATTATTAGTGTTATTGTTGGGAGTGAAACAACGTTTTCTAATTGGTTGGTTTCTTGCTCAAGGTTATTCTGCACTGCTTGTGACCGTTTCTTAGAAAGTTAAGCCATATATCTGCGGATCGTATTTGCACACATTAAGTGCGCTGTGATTGGTTGGTGAGTTCCTCAAGGTTAAACTTTGTTATTGTTTTTTTTTCATGATCCCGATTCGGGACGTAAACATTGACGTAAATTGTTGTCTACAATTTTGGCTAGCAGGCAGCTCTCCTTACAATAGTATTTCCCCCTTAAAATTGAATTTTTTCTTTTCAGATTGGTTCCCAGATAAGACGTGCAGAGTTAATGTTCAATTATCTTAGAGATCAAAGGGATATTATCACTTCTACACTAGAGAAATATTCTTATGTTGATGCTAATTCATGGCCTAGCAGTTCTACAACAGATCACAATATGAATAAATATGGATCAGATAATATTAACACTAATCGATTGAATCAATCATTCCCGAGTAAACGTCATGTGAAGCTTTCTGAAGTGATAAATACTGAACGCGAAAATAGCCTGTCATCTCAACTGACAGATCATGATTACAATGAAAATGTAAATCAGTCAACTAATGAAAATATTCCTGTGAATAAAACCAACGATATGCATGATTATAATAATGATACGAGAAATGAAACAACCACTATGAATCCGTTAGAACGATTAGTTCAGATATCCTCTTTATGCGCTGAACTTAAGAGTATACTTGATTCAATTTGTAAAACTGGTCATGTGAATGTCAAGGTAAATGAAATTTTAATTTATATATATATATATTATAATTCAGTCATTATACATGAAATCAAATGCTGAATTAGTCTAAAGCTGACTAACGATTCTCTATTTTATTGATTACTGGAACGTTGGGTGGCTAAGCGCCGAGTTCATTTGCATTCCTTTGCGTTCCAATTGGAACATATGGTTGAAAGCTTTTGAATTTTTAGCAACGAAGAGTATAAGCAACAAGGGGGTCTGCAGGCGAGGCATTTAACAATTTACTATTCAACAAATAAGGTTTCTAAGGAGACATTAAAGTATCATCAAATACCGACTGCTGTCTTGAATGGAATCTGAATGGAAGCGTTAGGTTGACCTTCCAAGTGCAACATGGAAGAGATCGTATGAAGGGAATACGAAAGACTATTGGCAGTTGTGGAAGGAGTTGAAAGTAGTGGCAGAGAACCAGGCACATGGTTACGAAGGGGTGGTAGTGAAGCAATAAAAAGTGCGATCATTGGACATCTGGTCGATAATGATCACCCTATCTCTACAGCCTCTGTCTTTAAAGTCATCTACAAGGCGAAAATTAATTTCCCCGAATCACTACGTATCAAAATCATCTATATTGCTGAAGCTTTAGCCATCAAAATAGAGAAACTAGATCTCTGTATACAAAGGAGGCTCGTCTAACTACTCCAACTTTCATGGTCTCTATGCTAAAGTATGGTAATACCTAGTCATTTTTTTCGTTTTGCTTATTCAATTTGTATACTCCTCCTTTATTACTTCAGTTGTTATTATTATTATTTTCACTATGAATTGTCCGCGGTATCAATTCCTTCACTGGATATAATTCGTTAAAAACCACATATATATATATGTATACGATTGTACAGCTTGATAATAAATTCGACCAAAATAGTCTCTTCGTTGAATCACTTGTCGCCAAATCCTTATGTTCCATTTGGAACTGATGGAGTAAATAGCTGGTGTATGCTACTCTGAAAGCGAATATACATTATTCAAGCAGTCTGCAAAGTTCACAGTAGTTTTACTTGGATATTTGGCTGTACGGTGGATGATGATAATTAGAGTTTTAAAGCAAATAAAATAAATAAATGAATAATGGTCAAATATGTTCTATTTTTAGGGAGACATTATGAACACTGCAGTATAATTACCTATAGTATGGGAACATGGTGAATTGTGGTGATATTAGCTTATTCATGGGATAGGAAAGAGATTGTGACACTTATGACACTATATGCACCAGAGTGCGTATCAATGGGTAAAGCCGAATAGAAAATGAAATATAAATGGATACAAACATACAAAATAATAAGAAATAAGAAGCAGCACTGAAACAAACATACAGTTAATGGAAGGCACGAAGCGATTGTATGCTCCGTGTTGTTAAGATAAGGTTACACTTTAACTGAGTGTGACAACCATATACCAATTAAATGTGATGACTGCAATTTCTCACAATGACGTTTTTCATTCCTTATTTTCTGAGTGAAACATAGAGCTTCAACTTTAAAGTTTCACTAGCGGTGGTATTGTTAACCTCACACATACTCTTTCTTATTACTACTAGCTATTGAACTTAACGAGGTTTAGGAATGTGTCGGCTGAGAATTGAACCTGAACCTTTCGCCTTGCTGGCAAACATTTTATATGAGCAAATCAACCATCCAGCTCAGAGAACACAACTATATCAAATCATTCACCCGAGCTACAAATCTTCCCCATCATATCGAATTAAACCTCAGTAATCGGGATTTTGTAGAGATGGCAATAGATGTTCGTTCTGAATATCCAGAGGCTCACACTCCAGCTTGTTGTCATTTAGGTAATACAGAGTTAATAAAAAATATTTAAAGTGTATAATTTTTTTTATAAAAATGTGAATATAAAGATAATTTTAAAGAATTAATCGAATAAGCAATACATGAATCATTCGATGGTCAATTATTTTCAATCAGTTATGTAACTGTAAAAATTGGACAGCTTTCAAAACAGTCAGCAAAATAACTGGGATTCATGCACAGGATGACACTTGAGATTTCAAGTAACACTTAAATCTCAGAAGGGTCTGGAATATATAAGACTTGTCGATTTATAAAATAAGAACTTCGCACAAAAGTGTATGAGATCAAGTTGCAATAGTTCGGAAAACCACACATGAATTTAGGGAAAAGAGGTATAGTGACAATTATATGTTGTATGTTAAATATGTTGACGATATCTTTATCATCTGTGATGACGGTCACGATCTCAATCAACTACTGCAAATATTCAACAAATGCCATCCAGCCACAAAGTTCACTTTGGAAACTGAAAATGAATCTAAAATCCCTTTTCTTGATGTTGAGCTTACAAGGAGAGATGACGGAACTTTAAGAAGGTCAATCCATAGGAAACCGACTTGGAACGGACAATTAACAAGTTTCTACAGCTGGGTACCAATCAGTCGGAAAAGAAACCTAATTAAATCCCTTGCCACTCGCGTCAGACGCATCTGCAGCTCCGACACCATGGAAGAAGAACTAAACTTCCTGAAAGAAATCTTCATACAAAATGGCTACCCACCAAGATTTGTAGAGAAAAACATCAAACAGAAAAACCAAAAGCAAGAGACACTATCCGTGCCGAAAAAGATACTTTATATGAACCTAGACTTCAAAGGAGACCTATTTAGTGACGTCCTCAGAAGGAGAATTTCCACCTCTTTAGGAAGAACTTTCCCTGCGGCAACACTAAGAATAGTGTTCTCCAGTCGCCCGCTGATCTGCAGAAACCCAAAGGACAAGATTCCGCACATGACCACTTCTATGTGTATATATCAGTTCACCTGTTGCTGTGGAGCCAGGTACATCGGTCGTTCAACGCGCATCCTGTCTAAAAGGGTAAAAGAACACTATCCAGCGTGGCTACAGAAAGGAAATAATGGCCATATAAGGAGTGCAATAATCGAACATCTCGTCAATACTGGTCATTCCATCTCAACGAACGCCTCCTTCAAAGTAATCTACAAAGTGAAGAACAACCTTCCAAAGACAGTACGATTCCGTCTTCTTTGCATCGCAGAAGCCCTAGCCATCCAGTTGGAGGAACCAGAACTATGCATACAAAAGAAAATTATCCAACCACTTCTACTCGCATGGTAACTACTCCTTTGATTTGACCTAACTTTTCTTTGTTTGTTTGATTTGACCTTACTTCTGTTTGTATGCTTATTTTTCTAACTTAAAACCCTTGTGTAATTCTGTATATTATTTTGTTTCCATGTACACCCTTTGAGCACAACTCATTCATCAAACTATTCATGCCATTACGTAACTCTTATTTAACAATCATTTATGACAACTCATCACTTTTGTTGCTATCCTCTTATCAACATCCAATTCATCTGAACCTACTAATTGTATTTTCGTTTGACAAATTTAATGTATACACACACAAAATAACCATATATATTTGCGATTGTACAGCTATGAAAATGAATTCGCCGAAAAGAGACTCTTCGCTGAACTACTTGTCTTCTGTCTACTAATGTTCGAATGGGAATTATTCATGAATTATGTGTTTGGTCGTGTTCTCTGAACTGGTGGATTTCATTGTGAAGCTTTCATCGTCCTTCTAGACGTCTGCTCAAAGTGTATATTCATTAATGTGCTATTAAGTGCACATAAATTATCGAGTTAGACACACGACAATAATAACTTTAGTTGTCTAGTTATGTATATGTGTTGATCAGAATCCATGGGACTTTGCGATCGGGCTGAGGGAGGTGATGTTCGGTAAACTCGCTTTTCTCGACGTTTAGTTTTAAGTTAGAATTCGTCACTAACCGATAATGTCTAGAGAAGTAGTTAAACCATGAAGTAATGGGGTAGTTGTTTCGTTATGTCGTGTGACTTATCAACAGTTTGGTCTATGAATTCATACAGGATCAAATCCCTAAATATCCAAGTCTTGAAGTAAGAAGGCTATTATTCAGTCGGTTGGTTGGAATGGCAGTGGTCTGTAATTTCAAACTTGGCGATATAATGCCTCTAAGCTTCAATTTCTTTATTACTTTGGACTATAAAGATTCATATGTCTAGACTGGGTATAAATTTAGTCAGTAAGTAACTCAAGAGACAAGGGCTAGGCAACAGATTGTTTACTGAGAAAATCAATAGGTATGCATAATTCTTTATGTATATTATTGTTAGCATAGAAGCAACGCCTTCTGATTGGTTGTTTTCTTGCTGAAGGTTATTCTGTCATCTCTTTGTGGCCGTTTCTCAGAAAATCAAGCCATATATCTGCAAATCATATTTCCACACGTTAACTCCGCTGTGATTAGCTGGTGGCTTCCTCAAGATGTTAAGCTTTGTTATTGTTTTTTTCATAACTCTGATTCGGAACGTGAACATTGACGTAAATTGATGTCTACAATTTTGGCTAGCAACCAGCTCTCACCACAAGTATAACGGTTACGAGGTTGATTTGTGCATTCGCTTAATACATTCTCTTTTATGTTTTTCATTTCAGATTAACAAGATATATCCAGTCTGTTTTTGTCTTCCACACAAAGCTTACTGTTTAAATAATAGTGATAAAATATCCAAGTTTATGATCGCTGTTCGACCAATGGCTGTTTGGCGAGCAATGGATAAAATACGACCGTATCATGCTTTAATATTATTACTGCGTAAAGATGTTCTACTCAAAGATTTTCTACCAACTGATATTAATCCTACGCTAAACGAGTAGGTTTTATGTTTGTTCTGTAATTATTTAAGTAATCGATTTTATAATAACATATGGTAACTGCTTAGTTTTATGCAGCTATAGGTAGCTGATCCATTCGGTGATTCGATGTTCGCTTACTGAGTTATAAGTAATAAGGTGCGTCGGTGGCACAGTGGTTAGGACTCTCGTCGACCATGGACATGGTCCGAGGTTCGAGCCCACGCTGACGCACACCTGATATCTATGGTTGGCCTGCGAATTTTGGGCTACCGATATCCACGCTGAAAATTCCATACTTGTACCAAAAATACGGTGTGGAGTCAAGCCGTAATAAAAAAAAATCAAAAAAAGGTTCAAACAACTGGTTCTGTGTTGGAGTGCTTAGTCGAATTAGACAGTATCACGCCTTCTTCTTCTTCTTCAGTGAAACTTTGTTCCATATTGTTAATTATGCAACAATAATTAGATTATTGTAAATCATGGAGTTATTCAACTTGTGCTCTTTTAATCCAGTCTTTTATTAACCATAATTGTCGATCAGTAGCGTAGTTGTGAGTCTACTGTATCAGTAGTGTGCGCGTCACAATTTTCTCGGCAGAATATTTTCGTTAAGTAATTTCAATGTAGATTTCAGGACGAACCAGCAACAGTGCTCTCTCGAGACCCCATCAGAGATTTATCCCAGGACTTTCAGGTTAGCAGGTCAAGCTCGCTGACCGTTGGAGCTGCTTTAGTTGGAATTCAACAGTGATTTTGAACAATAGAAAGGCATGAATAACAGAAGCTTTATTTTTCTGTCGTTTTCATCACCTATCTTGTGTTAATGAGGAACATTTTCTGTGGTTCATTAGAAATAATTTATTTTATAGACGAAGGAGTGTCCATATAAGATGTAAATTTGTGGGAATTAACTTATTTCACCTATTCAGCATACGGTTCTTATGATCGTTGACGCTGTCACTTATTTACTAGCTGTTCAACTAAGCCCTTTTAAACACTCACTGCCCTATTAATATTAGTGAATATTTATCGAAATGCTATTAATTAGGAATTGTCTTTAAGCCTCTATTATCTATTTTAGTACAATAACGATAATTCTGATGGTACACATAAAATAAGTTTCCTATCACTTTCTCTGCCTTCAAACAACAATTTCTTATTGCTAATTTCCTCAACTTATTTGAAGGAACTAGTCCGTTGCTGGCGTATTGGTAGAATACTTGCCAACGACGCATGTCTTCTAGGTTCGATTACCGGCCGATTCACTCCTAAACCTCGCCTAACCGATAGTAAGCCAGGTAAAGAAGGAAAGTTGAACGTGAGGCTTGCAACCCCATCCCTTAAAAAACAATAATGCCACTGAAACTTTAAAGCTTGAACCCCTATGGAATGCAAAAGAATGTAACAAACTTAAAGGATTTACATATGAAGGTGGTCATTCCTGCCATAGGAATTCCTTTAGGCCCAATGTTAGCTGAAGTACATATTTATTATTATTATTTCCTTGGGTTTGGAGAGGGACAGGGCTTCAACGACACCTCTCCACTTTTTTCTATCTGATACTGTCCTCTCCAGTTGGGTCCACGATTACCCATAATCTCTCATCTCTTTCCCACACAATCTCCTCATCCTCGTACCGAAGACCCATTCATCGCTTCCCATTAGGATTCTACTTAAGCCATGACCTGCATTGAGCGCGATGTTATTCGACGGTCTCCTCAACGTGTATGCCCGATTCATCTCCATTTTTTCTTACATATTTGTTGAGCAGTTGGCTCTTGGTTGGTTTGTTGCTACAGGAATCCCCGATTGGATGAATGTAGCACAGAATAATACGTCGTTAAGATATGTAGAAGAAAATGATGACCATTTACCGTTTGTGCTCATAACCCGCCGACATTATGGATTAATAAGGTTATCTGCCTACAGGATGCATACATGGACAAAATGGTATCAAAGTTACTGTAGTTTCTATCCACTTCAGTATGTAAAAGCATTAGTTAAATGTTAGTTCAGGTGTATTCAATACGTATGTATTACGGACATTACTGAAAAGAATTCAGAACCTCTCAAAAACTTAATTACGTAACAACTATCCTTTGGAATTCATCAGACGCTACTGAAATGTCAAATACAAGGTTCTATCGGTTCAATCAAGCGTCAAGAGAGGTATTTATATAACTTTACTGCTCAAGGGTGACTACCAAAGTGTAACTACTCAACAAAAATTCAGTAAAGTACTCTGTAGAACTTACTACGCAGTCAAGTTTATTTTTATACAGAAAACGAAATTTCTGTCGTCATGTAAACTCCTACAACATTCGAACGCCAGTATAACATCCTATTTTGTTCGGTTACATAAATAAAGAGGACCCATCGATCCCTGAAGTTTAACGCCACATAGCACATTCTCAATTGATTGCATAATCAAGTAAAATCATCTAGCTTAATAATAAATCCTTTGAAAAAACTCTCTTCGCTTAATATTGTGTTTCCGATGAAGCCGTCTAACTCACTTGCATATGGCACATCACTGCGACAAGTCATAAAGTAAATTTTAATACAACTTATAAATGCACATAAAAACTGATTAGAGTCATACACTTAAATATGTTGAAGCCCCCACCATAAAAAATGCTTAAAGCTACTATATATTTGCAAAAATCACTCGTTATTATTTTGAACCTACCTTGGTAATTCATTTATAAAATTAAGGCTTATTTGCATTACCGTATTTCCCTTTGTTTTCATCTCTTACCTCTTATCTGATTCTCATACCTAAAGTAATACTTTGACCTATATTACTGCAATTTTAAAATTTCATATCCTGTTAAATTTTATATAAATATGGATGACGTCTACGTGTATGATGAGAAGTTCGACAGGATGTTCGGGGCAGGTTGTATAAGTGTATCACACATGTCAGACAAATTGCATCTTATTGTTTTAATTCTGATCACATACTGATATCAGTTAGAGAATCTTTGAAAATCAGGGAGTATTGGACAGTTGTTTCGTCCTAGTTTTGGACTCTTCACCAGTACACACTCACCTGAAACCATGACCTTTGGGTTACATGGAAAGCTCGTAAACCATTCAGCCACTGGGACTTGATTCAATGGTCCATGAGTCGCAGGTCCTACCAGTTCGTGAATTTTTAATTCAACTATCAGTCAGTGTTTTATCAAAGAGTATTTTTCTTCACTCCCGTGAATAAATTTGAAACAAATCAAATCGTCAAATTTCAAATCAGCGAAATAACACAGCGCCTGAAGAATGCAGTTAAAAGAGCTTATTATGCAGCAGAGGTACGTTATCTTTTCTCCCGCTTCTACGTTCGAGAAATAAAGATAAATTACCTAAATTCGCCTCCTCTACGTGTATCAACCAGTTTGACTGCAGCTGCGGAGCCAGTTACATCAGGCGTACAATTAGGCAAGTTCATCGTCGTATTTCCGAACATCATCCAACATGGTTAAGCAAGGGACAAACAAGATATATTCGTAGCTCTATTTTAGCATACCTTGTAGATAGTGAGCACAAGGTTGACGTTAATACTGCATTTAAAATTATTTATCGCATTCCTACTAATCTTAATTTTGCTCTACGAGTTCGTCTTCTACATACAGCTGAAGCAATAGGAATCCACCTGAAGAAGCCAGACCTTTGTGTTCAGAAGAAATTTGTACAGCCATTTTCCTTACCTTGGCCATCGTTACATGAATGTATAAACCAGACTACTTCGCCTCCTCCCCAAAACCTTTAAAATTATAAGAAAATTTATAATTTTCTAAATAATTTTATTTTTCTGACTACTTCAGCTTTAATTATGTGTTATCCTTGTAAAATTAATTTATTCTAACCATTTCTACCTTTTACATGTGTATTGATTTTCTTCGTTAATTATCACCCATTGACAGTTTGACACTGACTAATTATTGTTAACAAACATATCAGTGCCACTTGATTGGTAAACTGTTATGTATTGTAATAAAAATGCCACATATATTAGAGTAGAGCTAGAGATAAGGATCTAATTGAAAAGTAAATATTTCTTCTCTCAGTCTTCCTGTCTTCTAAATCAAATCGTCGCAGAATAATTCTTATTGTTTTTGGCGAAATTCCTCACTTTTACAGAGAATGATTTATCTCTGTGACACTCGCTATGATCTTCATTTTAGGATAACGGAATCTTAAAATTACTTACCATTATCTTTATGTGAACTTAATTAGTCCCAAATGTTACCGTTAACTTTGCTTTTATATATATATATATATATATATATATATATAAAACAGAGATGATGAAGATTCCTAGCCAACATCAACAACAACAACATACCACAATAAGCATAAATGGGAAGAACCTGAAAGAAACAACCTCCTTCACCTACCTGGGAAGCATCGTCTCAACTACAGGCGGAACTGACGAGGACATCAAAGCCAGAATCGGAAAAGCAAGACAAGCTTTCATTACTCTCAAATCTGTGTGGAGGTCAACAGTAATCAGCATCAAAAATGAGATCCGGATTTTCAACTCCAATGTGAAGTCAGTGCTACTATACGGATCAGAGACTTGGCGAGTCATAAAGAGCATCTCAAACAAACTTCAAACCTTCATTAACAACTGTCTCCGCTCAATACTCAAGATCAGATGGCTGGCCAGAAAAGATCAGCAACAGGGATCTCTGGCAGTGAGCGAACTAACCAGGAACCGGTTGTAAAACAAATAGGCAGGAAGAAGTGGAGATGGATTGGCCGGCCATACTCTGAGGAAACCATCAAGTGACATCACTAGACAAGCCATTCCTCGAGTGGAACCCGAAAGGGAGGCGGCGAGTTGGTCGTCCAAGGGTGACTTGGAGGAGGTCATGCGAGGAGGAGATGAAAGCATGTGGACAGACCTGGAGCAGGGTGAAAAAGTTGTCAGAAAACCGAAGTCAATGGAGGTGCGCAGCTGAAGCCCTATGTTCCTCTAGGAACTAAAGGATACAATAATAATAATAATAATATATAT